AAAAAAAAAAAAAAAAAAAACAGAAAACTCATTTAATAGTTATTTTGGCGATCATCTGTCGTCCTGAGAATAGCGTAAATATGAGAAACCAAGAAAACAGTTATGAATTTGCAGCGAAACATATTTACTCTTTACACTTGTATATTGTGCTGTCGGGTTGGCTCTTACAACGATAGCTATTGAAATTGCAGCTGAATATTTGAAAAAATTGCATTACTTTGGAAGGAAAATTGATAATGTTGCAAACGTTAATATATGGTTCGGCGGAAAAAAGTAAGTTGTTCTGCACTGTTGGTCTGTTAAAAGATTGAATTTATTGGTGGGCAACAAATCTTCCTTTTTTACCCCTCAAAAAAAGGAAAGTAATAAGTTTAACTTTTCAAACAATAAGTAATTCAAATTAAATAAAATGGCTTGCTCAATTAGATTAAACGCACTTATTTTGTTGTATCTCTGGAAATAATAAGTTTTTGTTGGTCTGTTTTTCGATTAAGTTAGGCCATTGAGTGAAACTAGTAAGTATAGATGATAGTTTAAGTTGTTAGCATAAGTGCTGACTCATTAGCATTGCATTTTAAAGCGTTTTTTCAGGTTAACAATGAAACAACTAGTAAAAAATCTTGGAGATCAATTCAATTTGCCAGTTCACGAAATTGCGGATTTAAATTTAGATCATTTTGTCGATGCTGCTATACGAGTTGAAGCCGGCGAGCTTGCCACATTACGGGTAATATATTCCATCTGTATCAACACTTTTTGACTACCCGCTTTCCTAGATTTAAAGTCTTTAAGTAACACTATTGCTTGATATTGTCCTCGACGATTTCTGTAATGCAGTTAACGATATAAAGTGAACTTTTAAACTTGGAACTTTGTGAAAATCAGCCTTTGAAATAAAAAACAAAGAATACAGGGCTAAGAACTTAACTAATTAATTATAAGATTAGTGATTTAAAATGTTGATAAGAAATTGGGAAGCCCAATTGAGCAACGCTATTGCTGGTATATAATATAACTTTTTTAACAGCAACCAGCGGAACTTCGACCAGTATTCCTGGATTCAGATTCGTTACTGTTTGTCGACGAGGACGACTATTATCAAGTTTCACCAAAGCGTTCGTTTTATTATGATAACAATAATAAGGTTCTCGCCGATCTTAGGGAATTTGAAGGCTTTCTAAACTAAGTGCTCTTTTATTACTTCATTTGGCTCTAGGCACTAAAAAAGTTTTCTCTTTTTTTAATTACTTGAACTGATTCGTTCAGTCATCTATTTTTTTTTCCATTTCTCCTATCTCTTTGTTCGTTTTTTCTTTTATCAAGAATATGCAATTGCAATTAGAGGCCTTCGAGCATAGTAACAATTTGGGTAACTTGAGCAAACTACCTCATCCAATTAATTTAGCCATAAATGAAGAAAAAAAGCGCAGTAATATTTAATTACAAGAAAGAACTGCAATTTTTGATTATCCATCAACAAAATTAAAATTTAGATTAGCAAAAAAAAAAAATGGAAAAAATAGATAATTTATATATCATCAGGTAAGCTTGAGATATTAATTTGTTATAACAGTAATAATGACATTAATATTAATAGTATTGTAATATGTTGTCCAGCTAGCTATGTGGTAAGCTCGACGGCTATTAATTAATTGGAACGGTCCTGTAAAAAGACAGAAAAAAGAAAGCAAAATTATGGTCCAGTAGAACTGCACAAGCTGCACGTTTGAAGTGTTCAACAAATTTTCCTCAACAGATCTAATCTCTCAGCAGACTTCGCATGTATATCTCTTTTTTCTCTTTTTTTTCTCCTTTTTTTGTGAAACAAGAAGATTACAAAGAAAATGGTACAGTTGAACACTTTGTCTATCATAAATTTTTGTTTTTGACTGTCATGAGAAAATTTTTTTGATTTTGACAACAAAATCAACAATAATCAGTGAAAAGTTGACAGTAAAAAAAAAAATTGATCTGTACCAATTTCTCAATCAACCTCATCCAACTTATTATTTTTTCTTTTTCAATTTCATTGGCACAATAAATTTTTTTGCATGATGGTTTCTAACGACACTTTTTTTCTGCTTCAATTTCCCCAAGCAACTTAAGCTGCAACTAAACTTTTTTCTGCAGGTGCTTCAGCATACTCAAAAAGAATGTCTGACAGGCTTTTGAACCCTAGCAAATCCTTTTTTTCATCTTTTTTCTTTTTTTTCCTACCAAACAGTTTAACCTCTCCAAACAACACTAACATTCGACTGACAATTGATACCACATCTAAGCAACTTCTATCTCCCCTAGAGCTTTTAACTGATGTGATTGAATTCTAGAGCTAGTTGTAACTGTTATAAAAAAGCCCAGTGAAAATTATCTAACAACATGCAACTCAGAGACCCAAAACTCATCAACGCCTGTAGCCCTAACTTTGGAACTAGACTCGTAACCCTTTTAAATTATGAACGCTTAACCATTTAATTCTTCTTCCCCGAAATGCTAATACTGCAAACAATGAATCTCACCCGCTGAGTTAAGTTAACACAGTTAACTGTTCCTAGAACTTCCAAAGGTTTATTGCAAATCCTCATTAACCTTTTCAAGTCTAATCTGAATTGCTTATGCTAGTGTACACATCAGTCTAGGCTACTTAGAGGAGAAGAATAGCACGAACTAAAGAAGGAGTTGATACACTTTGTCCTGTAGAAAAAAAGCCCGATTCCAGTAGTTTGACCATGAAACATGAAAATTAGCAAAATAGAAATTTCAAAAACCTCTAGATGGTTTCACAGGTAATTAAGCACCCAAATTAATCCAAAAGGAAACAACCTTATAGAGACCAAATCATTAGGCTAAATCTCAACACTTCATTGCAAGATTTATTAGGCCCTCACCACTTTTAACAAAGGAACCTTAATTCTTGGTCTCGTTCAGGTGATAGCAGTATTATTCAATGCAAAGCACAATGCTTAACTACGCTAGATCATTCGAACAAGACCCATCATAAAGCACCAATAAAAACACGCATAAATGGGGAAATCCTAAGCTTCTGCAGAACATACAACAAATATTTATCACGCTTAAATCACTTCTGTAAACATTCAGCTATTTAAACAAAAATAAGAAAATGGGAAAAAACCAAATTTTGTTGTTTCCTTATGAAACCGACATTTTATCTTTACAGCCAATTGCGAATTTATTTTTGAAAACTCTAGCATCGTTTCACAACAGAATCCTTTCCTAGTTTTGAAACATCTGATGCTGAAGCAAACAGAGAGAGAAACAATTAACCCAAAAAGCAGATTAGACAGAAATAAAATCTGCTAAAATGACGGTAAAATATAAATTATTATAAAAGTATTAATACATCTAAGTATATTTAGTAGATAGACATTTGGAGCAAGATACAAAAAACGCAAAAGCGATAACACAGATCCTTTCAAAAAGACAACTAAAAACCTCTGCACTACGTTGCAAAAATAGCTCTCTGATGAACCAAAAATCATATTCTGTTAGGTTACCTTATAATTAGATTGAATTCCAAATGGTATCGTCTAAAGCACTATAACTTGAAAACAAAACTAATGACTAAATTAAGCAGTCAAATAGGTCTACGTAGCTTCGCCCACGAAAGGGTAACAAAACCATCCCATTTTGGATGAAGACAAAATCATGCGAGTCAGCAAATCTTCCCTAACATTCTCCACCATATCACTATTGTTGAACTCCTTATAGAACAGACGACTATCAAAAATTTTGAAAGAATGACGAGTGAGCATTTAATGAGTAACGAAGGTGTGACCAAACGTTTATTTTCGACCAATCCACGTATTTGGAATGATTACAGGAGATATAAGATTATAAGCTTTCAAAGTCCTTACTGATCGCAATCACTGGCCAATTTTGGAACCTTCCCGTGCATACACCAGCCCGTTTTGGTTTGAACGGTTTAACAGAATTTGAATGGACAGCGTCATTACAGCACAGTTAAACTGTTAATAATCATCACCTGTAAAACGACGCCCGCTTTTTGGGAACTTGAAAGGAGACTAATTTCTATTGGCTCAGGAAAAGTCAATTTTACAACTGTCAAAAGCAAGCTTTCCCCATTAGCTTTCATCAAACAGTTCAACAGAGAGCTCACTTCAAGAAAGTATTACCAAATGTTGACAACTATCAAACTTCAGAAGTGTCTGCTGTTTAACCACATCACCGATTATCATCGATGCGCTTTTTATCGTTCGCGTTTCCATTAGATGCTTGACCACAGCTCTAGCTTAGCTTCTTCCCACATTAGTGCTGGCTCCTGAGCCATCATCAACGACCTGCTGCAGCTCTTTGTTATCCACCGGTAATAAATGATCTCCATCAGCCAATCATTCAGTTGCCATCAATTTACGGCTGCGAAAAGAAGACACTCTAAAATAAGAAGTCTGCGATTTGCCTGCTTAAGAGTCAAACTTTTCAATTTATTCTTGCAGCCATTCTCCGCAGTCAAATCTGTAAACTGTAAAAGCTGGAAGTCCACTCGCCATTTAAAACGCTATGAAAAGAAAATTAATGAATAGCGTTCAATATTTCATTGTTTTCTAAACCATAGAACATGGCCTTGGTACAATACTCCTCTAAGAGTATACTACTGGCCTTCGGAGTATACTACTGGCCTTCGCGATGACAGATTGTAAATCATCACAAAAAAAAACTACTGAATTCAAAATATTATGAAAAACGAGATTGACTATGCTCAAATCTATTACAACACTTTACCAAGAGGTCAACTAAACATTCGCTCAAAAAGCGAAGTTCTACTATAACAGTTCTATTTTCCAGGATTAAAACAGTATAACTGAATTCGTCAACGAATTTATACCTGCAAATTATTTTAGTCTTAATTAATAATTTGCGTATTTCATACCATCTAAAAAAAGTTTTAGAGGGGCAACCAAAAATCAGAGAAGAAAAAGCCCACTTACGCTGTAACGAAAACGCAATGAAATTCCGCAAGGATATATCTGAATCCAGTCCGCAGCTCTAAATGCAACCCAGTTGATTTTTGAAGGAAATGTTCAATGTCACTTCTTCTCCGTTCTTAACAGCTTACGACGCATTCGTGTGCCTTTTCTTTGGAAAGCTGTAATGAAGAATGCGAGAGAGCCACTGGAGAATATTAGCATGAAAAAAAAGTCAGTAGAAGTGTAACTGAAAAAGTGATAACGATAGATTTAAACCACGTTTTCAAAAAAAGTCGATGCTTTATGAAAAACTTGCGGAGTACTGAAAATAGATAGTAGGGAATATAATGCGTAACTGGGCAAGTTTCCTGACCACAACGCGGTTAATCAATGCCGTCTCAGCTGTAGACATTACCCCTAAACAACGCCAATCTTCCCAACAGCTGAACGTACCACAATCAAACAGGAGAACCAGAAAGACGGTAAGTGCTGTCAATAATGCTAAAGAGCAGTATGTGAGCAAAACTAATGTCATAATCAATAGATGGAAAAAAGGAATCATTCTCAGGACCAAAATGTTAGCACGTCAAAAAAATTGCTTCATTAACATTTCAGCCCATCAATTCTGAACAATTGAGCATCCTCTTAATAACTCACGACAGGAAAAAGAAAAAAGTAGTTTTCAATAACCATTTGGAAACTTTTATGAAAATGCATTGCCAAGAACTTTAAAGTGATCGAAAACTCGGAGACTGCGTTGGTTCACACCAGACGTCAGCCAGGAGTATTCATTCACTGTACTGCAAAAAAAACGCAACTTCATCGCTCATGCACCTGGATTTCCGCTCCTGAATTATCAATTCTTTTCAAGCTCAATTAATAACAATAAACGGCGTCGCATCAAATGTTTTTTTTTAAATGGAAGGAAACCAATGACAGCCAACAGAGAGTGAATTTCAAAACATGGCTCGTAACAAAGTTCTAAGCTAAATAATTGGTTGTTCCTCAGTGTCTTACTAGCTCCTCGAATTCGTAAGATTTCTGCAAATCGCTGTGCAGCCAAGTATTTTTTGTTACATAACTCTGAGACACCAAAGCCGAGTAAATATTTTCACTTGGATCGAGTTTCAAATATTTTAGATGTTTCAACTGAAAACGAGTTTTACCAGTCAATATCGATCTGTAGATACCTGTAGGAGAGCCAGACAATTACACTTATAGGTGCTAATTTTCAAAATCGCTAACAACTGAAAACTAAATTGAACAGTGCTATTCTAGATAAACCGTACACTTTAAGTGAAGAAAAAGAGGAAAGAAAGAAAGAAGAGGTTACTGCAGGTATAAACAGACAACCGCTAAACTGTGAAAAGAATGGATTTTAGTTTACAAGGAACCTATATTGATTAACCTGAAAAAGTACAGAATAAATTTTTTGAAAATGATGGTGGACGAAATAACTTAGACAGATTTAACAGTAGAATAAGTCGTTGAAAATTTTACTGCTGGTTGGGTACCAGCGGTAATATCTATATAAGGAACTTTAAACACCATCAAAACATATCGGATTTTTTTGCTGTCTTGTAGTACTATAGCGCAGTCCAACTTCAGATAGGCCAAATTTGGTAGACAATGACTGCTTCTGCCCATATAATTTTGCCACCAAACAATTTACTTTATTAAAACAGACTTTGACAGTTTATTTCAATTAAATGTAGTTTTAAATGATGACAAATTTTTTGAAGAACACCGTCAACAAACAGTTTGATATTCTCAACTAACAATTATGTCGTTTGCTAAATCCTGTAGATGTAGAAAAAAAATCATCACTGAGAGACAACTAAGAGTCCTCTACAGTAGTCGCTAACTAATTTGCCCTGTAAAATCCTATATTCAAAATTTTTAACATAAGCAACAAAAATATCCTTAATTTTTAATACTCAGCTCTTATTTCTTTTGAACCACCTTAAGCCATCCATAAGCTTTTCTCAAGACGTTTTGAAATGCCTATTCGATAACAAGTAAAAGTGCCTCAAAACTGTTGTAGAACTGCTTATTTTTGCTAAAACATTTAAACACCAGATTCCTCTTGAAATAAAGTTCAGCAAAAATGTGTCATCAAGAAATTGACAGTATGACCAAAAGGTAGATTTTACAGTGTTACCGTAAGAAAATACTTCAAAAACCACTGTAAAACACCACCTCTTTTCCCTCCTTCTTTCTAACCTATAAAAATTCAAAAGTCAATAGTACCTGAATGTTAGACTGTTAGACCGTAGTATAGTTGCACGTTTGCTAAGACGTAACCCCAACTAAGAAATAGCACAGCACAAAACACTAATAGACATTGCAAAAACTAACTAAACACTTTTTAAAATTACAGATCTTCCACTGTTACCTTAAAACAGAAATCTTTCTGAGTTACCATTGTTCAGAAATAGAACCTTATTTAAACACTAAAAACTCCAGCCGAGTTTGAAAAAAGGTGAAAGTGACAAATTTTAAGTAGAATAAATAAAACTTCTCCTGTAAACTGGAATTTTAAGATCCCAACAAGTAATAGTTGAGTTTTTTCAAGCACTAAATATATAAACAACTGTTTGAAAATTTTTAATTTACAGCAAAAAATAGTGAAGAAATAAGACCTGAAGGTGAGTGCTGTAATGCGTCTTCATTAACCTCCGTGCTATTTCAGCTATCAGTGTTGTTGAAAATAAGAAACGAAAAGCGATACTTACAAATAACTACTCCTTAAAATTTAGCATCTTTGGAAATGCTTGTTGGTCAGCCTGCCACGAGAACCAATAGTCCGTTTGTGGTTGTCAATGAATATGCAGCTTTGACTTCGACTCAAGTAATTTCCCCACTAAACTGTCAACTACACGACAATCCGAGAAAATCGCCATCTTTAGCTTCAGTTTCAGAATTGCGCGTCGATGCACCTCCAGTAAGTTATGCTATGGTTAATCCTATGAAGTTAACAGTCTGCATTAAAACAAAAAAAGTAAAAAGCAAAACATCACAACCCACCCACACTTTAAAAATAATGAACCACCTAACAACTCAAAAATAGTGATTACATTGAAGTCATATTCAGATAACCGATACTTCCCGCACAGTCTTTCCGGATACAAGAAGGCTAGAACAACTTCTAGCGCAATATATACCTCCAAAGCAGCGAAGTACTTAATTAAAATATCGCTCCATTCCGCAAAGTTAAACACCCCCTTTTGCTGCCATATTTTCCAAATTCCAAAATGTTCCTCAAAACTTCATTAATTTTAGTATCAATAAAACAACTAATCAGCAAAATTTAGATTCACTTGGCTCTGCCTTTGACCGCCGAACAATCAAAAAATATAGCCAAGAAGCGGTTAGACGGTACGAGGCATACAGGCAAGAGTGGAAAAAGTTTCGCACCACACAAAACATTTGATCTTTTTTAATTGTTAAATGTATATTATTAAAAATTTATGTTCTTGACTTTTCTTAGCTGTCACCAAAACCAACAAGTGAGAATCAGTTCTTTATTGAACTCACTTCCACAAAATTGCGGTTAACCAGAACAATAGTAAAATCTTATTAAAGACTAGTGTCATTGTATTCGCTCAAAGTCTGATAACAAAGACGAGAACACCTGCAGCATATTTTAAGAAATTAAAGCAATGATTCGGAAAGAAAAGAACAGCAAGAATTTCAAATAACCTATGAAAAAACGAACTCTGACCCACATCCACTAAGAACATAAATATATGAAACAAAATCAACATCTGAACAAATTAAGACTTAATTACTAACTGACATTTCTTTAGAATAAAAACAATAGATACTAATCTGCGTAAGCCCATTATTAACAACATATAAGAGCGGGTTAGAAGTTTTTCTAAATACCGTTGATTGACTTGCCAAAGTAAGCACTGAGATGGGCTTCACGGAACGCTTCCGATAAAGTCTAGAATCAAAAACCTCTAAAACCTTGTACAAACAGAACTCAAGTGTAAATATATAACAACTCCAATTAATCGAAAGAATCTATAAAAAAACAGAGCACACTTGCTCGACAACTTCACTTACTGGATGTGGATGGCAAACACGGGCAACATCTTCACAAGATGCTCCATATTCCATAGCTAAAACTCCTTCAGCGATCATCTCTCCGGCATTCTAAAACCTCGATTTATCATTTTATAATTTCAAAATAGACTGTAAGCTGAAGCACCAGCAAGATGGCTTAAATTATGCTATCTTCTATTAAAATAAAAGAGAAGTGACTCAGAATCTACCAAAAAAATGAAACATTCGATAACAGCAAAAGGACAAAAATGCGAGAATAATAGATAAAACGTACAGGCCCTATTATGTGGATTCCCAAGATCCTGTCAGTGCTCTTGTCAGCAACAACCTTTACAAAACCATCAGTCTCATTATTGGTTTTCGCTCTCGAATTCGCAATAAACGGAAACTTGCCAACTTTATAGTCCACTTTCTATAAAAGTACACTCTTAGCATAGAAAACAGCAATCTAAAGCATAGTATAGTTGAGAAAAGAAGAAGAGTGACATGTCGGAGCAAAAGAAAATTCAGATACCTCCTCTTTCAAAGCCTCTTCAGATTTTCCAACCCAAGCAACCTCGGGATGGGTAAAAATGACAGATGGGATGCAGTTATAATCAAGATGTACAGGACCTCCAGCAATACCTTCAACGCAAAGAACACCTTCATCCTAGAAAGCCTAAGGTAAAGAAAAACAAAAAT